CTATTTCTATATAGAGCCCCAGAGGAAAAATCTGGGTGCTTTTTATTATTCCCACACTTTTCCTGGGCCCAAATAACACAGCCAATTCAACAACAAAAAATCAAGGTCATTATCTGGTCATCAATTTAGCCAGGAACTTATTTGTTAATTAAGTAAACCACTACAGTTGATCCCCTAGATTTGTTGACATAGCCACAAAAAAGGAGGATACAGGTTTTGTTTCTGCAGGACTTCTTAGAATACTTTGAGGAGGATGGACATCCTCTGGGGGAATTATCCTGTTATTCTAAGTTAAGTCTACTTTATAAAAAGAAGCCCATACTACTGAAAGAAGGTCCTAGACAATGGACTGCCAAAATCACCTCTGTAATTTACCAGCAAGTTTTAATACTTTTAAGTAAAAAAAAATTTCTTCATAATTATTTAGCATTTTAAAATGCCAGCTCTGCTGATATGAGCGTCTTTACACAGAGAACCAATATTTCCCTAGACCAGGAGGCCAAGTAATATAATTAGGACAATTCCCTTCCCTGTTATTTCTCTGCCTCTAGTGCTCTAACACCTCTGCTCTGCACCTCTCCCCCCCAACACTGCCTTTAATCTTTTGTTCAATACACATTCCTATGCACACAGAACCATCATTCTTACTTCTTACACCTGAATCTTCATACCTCTCAGGCCATCATTTAGCCCATCCCACTTCTTCAATCTGCTACTGCCCACCTCTCTGGCCCCTTCCTATCATGCTCTGTGAACTCCCAAGACTCACTGTAAGTAAGCTCCTCTTTACTGTAAACCTTGTCCTCTGTGTCTTCACCCTAACAGGACCCCAATCTTGCTGTTACTTTCTCTTACTGATCTGTTGGATTCTGTCTCTCATAATCTTCTTGACTCAGGGGTTCTGAAGAGAGGAGGGAAAGGAGTGAGTCTTCTCCTAAAACCCTGGTGGCCCTTCCAGATCAAAAAGCAATTATGTTTTCTCCTGATTCTTATGATTCAAAATCCATGCTGCACATCTATGCCACCCTCCTCCAATCATCACCATTGTTGTCTGCCACCTACTGGGACCAGATTCCAGCTAATTAATTGATTTCTGCATGTTTCAAATTCTTCCTCCTCACTCCTTGGTCAGTCAGTCAAAAAGCATTTACTAAGCACCTGCTACATACCAGGCACTATGCCTAAATGCTGGGTTACTTTATCCTCCATGCTATCGAACTGCTCCACCTGAATACTTGGCTTCATAGTTCCTTGATCTCTTTGACTCTTTCAAATGATCTCCAATCTACATTAGTTATGCAATGCTGTTGTTTGGTCTGTTACTCCCCTGCTGAAAAGCATTTATTATCTTCCTATTTATTTTTAAATCAACTCTATATTCCTTTGTCTGACATTCAAAGCTCTCCATAATCTGGCAAAGTAATTTATCTAATCTTATTTCCCACCATTCAACAACAATCAATGTTTACTGCCCCAACTCTTCCTGAAGCATTCTTGACTAGTCCAACATGCAACTTTCCTCTAAATATTTGCTGCACCTGAAGCCCATAAAACAAAATTTAGCTCTTAACTATGCCCTGTCTTGCTTCCCCACACCACTGTTTTTTTAAATATGTGACTGGCTAGTCATATGATGATGGATGGAAAGAAGGAAGGAAGGAAGGATTTATTAAGCCCCTCTCATGTGCCAGGCAACTGGGCTAATCATTTTACAAATGTTATCTCATTTGATCCTCACAACCCTGGGAAGTAGCTGCTATCATTATCTTCATTTTATAATTGAGGAAACTTAGGCAGACAAAGGTTAAGTGACTTCCAGGGTCACACATCTAGCAAGTCTCTGAGGCTGATTTTGAACTCAGGTCTTCCTGACTCCAGGCCCAGCACTCTATCCACTGCTCAGCTATCTACCAGCTTCCACTCTGTGTTCTTCACTGCTAACCTTGGGATGTCAAGAGAACTCAAGGTAGGTCCCCAGAATATTGTGTGGATCCCTGGCAATGTAATTTTGGGAGGGCCTGGACAACAACTGCCAATTATAAAGGTATGGCTCAGTTGTGATATGCATCTATCTTTACACCAGACTAAAGAAATCACATGCCCATTTGAATATTTTGTGTAATCTGTCATAGCATTATCTAATTGTATTAATTTTTTCAATAAACATTTATTAAGTGTTGGCTATCTGAAAAGCACTATGCTAGGTACTGGGAAAGATAAATAGATAAGACACTATTGCCTAGCACAGAATTGAACATACAGTAGGTGCTCAATAGTAATAGTGGATGTAGTTAGCTCTGCTAGGCTTTTACATTTGATCCTCGACAATATATTGTGAGGTAAGCAGAGCAAATATTTTTATTCCTATTTTGTAGATAATTAAACTGACTCAGAGAGGTGACCTGCTTTACCTCAGGTCACATGGCTCATAAATGGAAGAGTTGGGACTTAAACATAGGTCTTCCCAATCCAAGTCTAGTGTCATTAAAAACTTGTTGATTGCATGATTAATGAGCTGGTTCTGATAGATGAGACCTTAATATAGGATAATTGTCAGTGTGTACAGTGGTTGGTTGGATCCAATAAGCCAGAACTTCCATATCTATTCACACAAAGTAAAAAGAAAACATTTTATGATCACCCATTTTGCCAATTCCAAAGGCTAATCAGAAACACTAACGGAAAATCAAATAGCACCCCAGAATTCATCAATGAATTGTGCTGCCTTCTCCATCACTTTGACAAAACTTTGCCTTCATTTCTATTTCTTGATCTGTAGAATGGACCTATTGAGATGAATCTTTGTCTCAGAAACATTGTAAGGAAGAACTAATACAAGCATTTGTAAAATAGCTACCAAAATAAAAAGTGCTCTCTAAATGCCAAGGAGTTAGGATCAATCATCACTTCTTCAGCACTTGCCTCCATCTCAGCTTCTTTTTAGCCATTTACTTACCACCACTTACTTTTAATCAGAGAAAGAAAAAAAAAGGAAAGGAAACTCAGCTCTAACACTCTTCAAAGATATGAAAGGAAATATGACTAAAAAAAATCAGGTGTAAGTTATCAAAAATGCATTAACTCCTAGCAAACAAGGCATCCAAAATACTGAAACCCAATTTTGTTCCTATTTTCACCTCTTGCCACATGCTACCTTTATTCAATCGTAGCATTGTCAGGGATTTAATGAAGTTCCAGGCTCCTGGAAGGTCAAACCTCTGATACTGTTTTAGCCAGTCTTCGAGACAAGCAAATAAAATTGAGAACAAAGATTCAAAGCAAGGAGATGTGAACTCAGAATTGATCAGCTGCACATGAATGTGTGTGTGTTTCCTTACACTATTATTGCTGGGTTCCTTTTAAATAGTTCAAGGATCTGAGATTTTATCCATGGTGGCACCTTCTCTACCTCAGTAGATCACAATCCCTCTACATCTTGGTAAATGAGTTCATGAATTTCTGTGGTCAAAAATGATCATTTCCCAGGAACTAACACTTTGGTAATGAGCCTCTTTAAAATAATCTAGTATAGATATGAGATGACAGACAGCTTGTCAGTTGCTGCTCAGTATTTTAAGCCAGAGGATGACTAATTCAGAGATGGAAAGGAACTTCAATACCATCTAATCCAACTCTTCAATCAGCGAATTAGCATGTATTTATTAAGGGCTTATAGTGTTTCATGGTTTTATGAAATGGTAGAGATGCAAAGAAAAAAAATCTTTACCCTCAAAAACTCAGATTCTAATGGAGGAAAGTGTGTATGTATGTGTGTGTGGTGTGTGTGTGTGTGTGTGTGTGTGTGTGTGTGTGTGTGTGTTTATAGCCAGGCAGTGGAGCAGATAGAACTCTGGGCCTGGAGTCAGGAAGGCCTGAGTTCAAATCAGATACCTCCTAGCTGTGTGACCCACATGGTCATTGTCTCAGTTGCCTCATCTGTAAAATGAAAATAATAATAGTACCTGTCTCCCAGTGTTACTATAAAGATCAAATGAGAGTGAATGAAAAAAAAAAGTAATACGCAAGAAAACTAGAAAGGTAGGGAGGCCCTTGGTAGAGAAGAGGTTTAAATGCCAAAAGAGTTTATACCTGATTCTAGAAATAATGAGAATTTATTGACTTGAGGGGTGACATGATCATGGTATGTCACTTTGGCATCTGTGTGAAGGATGGAGTGAGGCAAGAAGACCAATTAAGAGGATATTGTAATAGTCCTGGAAAGAGATGATAATAAAGGTTTGAGCCTGGGTGGTGACTGTGTGTATAGAGAGAAAGAGAATAATGCTAGAGATGTTAGCAAGGTAGAAAGGACAAGACTGTATATATGGGGTAACAGAGTGATGAGTCCAGGAGGACACCAAGGTGTGGGACCTTGGTGACTAAAAGGATGGTGGTACCCTAGATGGCAATAGGGAAGCTCAGAAGAGAGGTGAGCTTGGTAGGAAAGATTTGATTTGAACATACTGAATTTGAGATGCTTGTTGGAAATCCAGTTTAAAATATCTAATAGGCATTTGGTGACTCAGAAATGGAGTTCAGCTGAGAAACAATGGCTGCAGATTTTATAAACAGATATATGTAGGTACATACATATATGTTAGATGCATATGTATATACACATGAATATGCTTATATGCATGCCTCTATGCATATATATGAATCATCTAGAAATAGACGATAATTGAACTCATGGGAGCTGATGAGATCACTGAGATCCAAAAAAAAGATTAAGTGACTTGCCCAAGGTCACACTGGTCAGAGATAGGATGTGAACCTCAAGCTCTTTCCACTGAACCAAGCCTTTGCAGAGTGATAAAGCCTGCCGCAATGGCAAGGCCTAAGGAAAAGCAAGGTCACCTTTAAACCGTGATGAGACATCAGAGAAGAAACTTTATTGGTAGTTTAATTAACAGAACCGGAGCGCTAAAAATGTCGTTGAACACTGAGTGACAATTGGATCCGAAGTCACAATTAAAATACATCTTATTATGTAGCCAAACTTCAAAATAAACATTTCTCATGGAAAACAGCCTTGCTATTCAAAAGAGCAACGTACTTAAAGTCACAGGGTGCGGCGGGGATCCTTGATCTGCTATTTCTTACGTGTGTGGCCTCAGGCAGGTAGCTTTGGCTGTCTGGGCTTCGGGTTACTATTCTGTAAAACAAAAGAATTGAACTGGAGCAGTTCTTAAACTTCTTTGCATAATGGACCTATCTGGCATTCTGGTGAAACTTACAGACTCGGCAAATTTTTTTTAATGAATAAAACATATAGTATTACAAAGAAAACCAACTATATTGAAATATGGTTATCTATTTTTTTAAAGTTCACAGATACCAGGCTAAGAACCTCTGCAATATATGGTCTTTTGGTTACTATGATCCTCCCCTAAAAAAAAAATTGTACAAACAAATAAAGAAAAACAGATAACTCGAGTTTTAAAAAATACATCTGTAGTTCCTACTTAATCTAAAGAAATACTTCATAGGATTTGCAGATTAGAAGGGACTTCAGAAGTTATTGGGCTCAACTGTTACCTGAAGCTGAATCTTTTCTACAATATCTCAGATGACCGGCCATTCAACCCCTTCTCGAGGACTCTAATGATGAGGAGTTCTCTAGAACAAGCCTAGTACTTCTTCTATGTAACGGCCCTTCAAATATCTGGAGACAGCTATGGTGCCTTCTTCCATAGGTCTTCTCTTCTATATGTCCCAATGTCCTTCAACTCCTGCATCATGATTTTGAATTCCCTTGCCATCTTGATAGTATTATGTGGCTTTAAGTTCTTAGCCTTTTAACTCATACCTGATGAGAATCACTTATCTGGGAGCAAAGAGGAAAGAAAATATAAAATGGTGGACAGAATTGTTGTTCTCTGGTAGCATCAAACTACCTCTGCAAAGCTGGACAGGCAAAGTTCCAGACAAATGTCACTTTCTACCTGAAGTATCTCCTATTCTCCATTGATGGCTCCAAAAACAGATAATGCAATCTTGATTTGCATTAATACAGGTATAATCTCTAACACAAGGGAAATAATACTCTCAGCATTCTGCACTGAAGAGACCACGTATGGGAATTAAGCTTGGGGTGTCAGATTTTTAGAAAGTTGTTCTGCAGGCAATGTATTTTTGAAACTATTGAAGGGTTGATTTTTCAGGCCATAAGACAATATTACTGAACTATCAGAAAAAAATATAGATGGTATTATCCTATCAAACCCAATCCACAAGAATTTATTAAGTAACTACCATGTGTAAGACTTTCCACAAAGTCCTATTTGGATGCCTCATTGTGATGTGGAGATGAAGCTGGGTTCTAGAGTGCTGTACTAGTGGACTATAACCTCTGACTGTTTCAATCATTGTAGAATGCTTTGAGTATGATCCCAACAACAAAACAAATTGGTTTTCCACTAACCAATCTAGCTAAGGACAAAGACACCACCCATGAGCTAGCTCGTTGGTGGTGAATTCCTTGACTCCGACAATACATAAGCAAATAAAATTACAAAACAGTCTCCAGCCTTGTACATACCCCCTTATGCTTCTGCAGTGATTGAGTTAGGACAGTAGAAAAGGGAGCAAAAAGTACCAAGAATCACATAGTTTCTTAACCAACCTTAAACTATTACTTGCCTATTGCTACTCAAAATGCAGCATTCTTGCCCAATATTCAATGAATATTCATACATACTATAGGAGGAACTGAATCATAAATCTTGGGATTCTTACCATAATCAAATGACGTAAAAGAATAAAATCACAGCTAAATTGAATGATTGCTAAGAGGATCTTCTTGGAGAGTCAAATAAAGTAACTGACAAAGTTGGTTTGATTATATGCCAAAATACAACATGAAACATGATTTCCTGAGAGATTTGATGATCTAATATTGTGGTGATCATTATAAGTATTTTCAATTTGAACTCCATGAATATGATTATAGCTTATGCACCAAGTCTGTAGCAAAGGATGAAGAGGTAGAGAAATTCTGTGAAGAACTTAAGATCTCTCACATTAAATCCACATATACTTTGAAATTTAGCAACTTCAGTTCAAAGATGAGAATAGGTTAGGATGGTGAGAGATAAATTGAAAATATATACCAGGAAAAAGGAATTAAATAGGCCAAAGACTCATAAACTTCACAGAAACCTTACACCAATTTTACCCTTCCTTTAAGAAATAATTCAGTAGTCATTGGGAATGGTGAACATTGAAAAATATCACAAAAGTGAAACTAAATATATCTTAAAAGTTAGAAAATTATTTGTTACTGATATGGAAGTCATTAAATTGACTCTTCATGCAATATAGTTAAACCACTGATTTTATAAGGGCAAATATCAAAATTAGTGCAAATCTAAAGAAAGAAGGAAAAATGAAAATTGTAATTGAAAAAGCTAAATCCTTACCCACACAAACATGAAAAGGAGTAGTGGAAAAAAAGAAAAGGCAAAGACACATTTCATATAAATTTCATATAAAATTTCATATAAAAGTTTAATCAATGAAAATCAATTGCCATCACAAGATCAAGATCAAAATCACCATGGTCAACAACCATTTGACTTCCTTGCCAAGTGGAAAGAGATAGGTTGCCAAAGGCAACCAATTTAGGATATAAACTTATTTGTGAAATCTTATGGAATGGGATTAGGGAAAATTAAAAGTAGTGTTTTCTCATAAAACAAAGAGAAGTAGGAATGGGTAAGACAAGTTTAAAGAAAATTTGACAGAAAAGACAACTAGGTAGATTAATCTCAAGAACATTTAAAGATGAAAACAGAAGGACAGAAAATGGGAAAATGGAAAATATCAATAAAGCTTTTTATAACAAAACTTTTTTTACTGGCAAGGAGAATAGAGCCATCACATTCATACTCATATTTATATGTGCTATATACTTATTTAGGTAGTATATTTCCTCATAAAGAAGGTAGAAATGATGTCTCAAATACAAGATATCTGAAGAAAGGGAGAATAACAAAGATACAGGGAGAAAAATCTCAGCACTCATTAATACTAAAAAAAAAATGACCAAGAAAATGTTAACTACCAAACTGTATTTCCATTTTTCCATCTACATAAAATTTTATGAGAATAATATACACGTGCATTTAGGTCATCCTCAATGAGAATATTAGTAAGGAACAGGCAAGCTTTTATGAGCAATATTACACAATATACCACATTTTGGATGATATAGTGAACACAAGATCCCACTATGCTTATTTTTTATTCTTTCTTTAAAACATTAGGTTTCTTCAAATAAAATGTATACTTAAGGGCTCTTTTCCATCTACCATCAAAATTATTCAAGATTCCCTGAGCAATATAACCACAGAAATAACCTTATTCAATGACCATCTGATCAAAAATAATAAGTGATGAATAAACAGAGATATATGCTCACCAGAAATGTTCACCATTGTGGTACATATTGAGCACAGAGTTCAGTTGAAGAGAGATTCCCTGTGATTGGGATACTATCACTGATGCTGCAGATGATACCATGTCGGTTGCACCAAAGCCCAGAGCAAACTGCAATAAAATAATTTGGTTTAACTATCCACTCAGGAAAAACCAAATAGTTGAAGAATGTCTTTTACTGGGCTGACATATATTTCAGAAGACAACTCCTAAAACTCTTCCATTGGCATATATCTCTAGGACAGATGGCATAAATGGGCAATGAATTGGGCCCAGAATGAAACAGAAGAAGCGATGTCAAATTAACAGGCATTTATTAAGTGTTTATTACGTAGGCACTGTGATTAATGCTGAAAACACAAATAAGAAAAAAGAACAGTCCCTGCCCTCAAGGAACTTGCATTCTAATGTAGTAAGACATTACATTATTACATGTATATAAAAGGAAATTTAAATGGGGCAGGGGAGGGGGTACTCACTCAGGGCCCTGGTAGAGGAAAAAGTCCAAAGAGTCAAGAGTACAGCATGGAGAGGAATGAAGACATGGTTGGCCAGAGTATTCTCCTTAGAATGGATGTTCTGGGAGAAAGCAGTCAATCAGCAGAATACCTGTCATGAGAAGATGAGGGGTGAAGTGAACTTCCAAGGCAAAGAGGTTTCTGTGGAATAGGAGAGAAAGGCTGGGGATTCAGGAGTGCAACCTGGAGAGGAAGCATGAAGGGTGGGTTACTTTCAGAAAATTGCAAGGCTTCTTTAATGACCCTAACTTCTCCCAGGAACATGAACATGATGTAACATGTTCTCTGTCTCTGTCTCTCTGTTTCTGTCTCTCTGTCTGTCTGTCTGTCCCTCTCTCTCTCTCCCTCCTATCATTGTACCAATGGTCTTTCATTACTATAAGTCATAGAACACAATAGACTCTGAAGAGTTAAAATTATTACACAGGCGGCAGTGAAGAACCACATTATAGGTATAAACAAGCTGTAACATAAGGAATTTTGAGGAAGAAATAGAGGAAAGGTTATGCCCTTTCCTTCTCCAAATGAGGAAATGGAGGCAAACAGGCTTAAGTCATTTGCCCAGGGTCACATAGCTGGTAAGTATCTAAGGCCAGATTTGAACTCAAGAAGAGCTTCGTGAGTCTAGGCCTGGAGCTCTGTCTACTGCACCACCTAGCTTTGTGGAGTCAGGAAGCCCTGAATTAAAATCCTCCCTCTGGACGCCTACTAGCTGTGTGTTGTTGTTGTTTGGTCATTGTTCAGTCATGTCTGACTGTTCATGACCCCATTTGGGGTTTTCTTGGCAAAGATACTGCAGTGGTTTGCCGTTTCCTTCTCTAGCTCATTTTACAGATTAAAAAATAGAAGCAAAAAGAGTTAAGTGACTTTCCCAGGGTCACACAGGTAGCAAGTGTCTAAGTCCAGATTTGAACTCAAGAAGTTGAGTCTTCCTAACTCCAGGCCCAGCACTCTATCCACTGTGCCACCTAGCCGCCCATAAGTATGTGATTGGATGTGAGGAACTATGTTAGTCAACAGGGCCCCAAAGCAAAATGAATGACATTCTCTTCCTTCAAAGAGCTCACATATAACTATGAATGTACATGACAGTTTGGAGATGGTCAACTGAGTGAACACCAGTAACTATGGCATTCAATTAGCATAGTGTATGGAGTGCTGAACTTAGGAATCAAGAAGATCTGAGTTTGAATCCTGCCTCAGAAATTTATTCCAGACAAGTCATTTCTGTCAGTCTCATTTTTGTAAAATTGGGATAATAATAGCTTTCAGGATTTTGTGATAATTAAATAAGACAATGTGTGTAAAAAGCTTGGCAAACCTTAAGAATTATATCACCATCATCATTATATTATTACCATTTTATTGCTTTATATATTATTCCTATGGAATTTCTCTGACAAGTGTTCTTAACTTAGTGATCAATAAACTTTTTTATTTGATAAGCATATTTCAATGTAACTGCTTTCTTTGTAATTCAAGGTATTTTACTACACACATTTTAAAAATGACAAGTGGTCATTGTTTTTGCCAGACTGCCCAAGGGGTCCATGACACACAAAAAAGGCAAAGAACCTTCTCTATAAAGATGTGCTATACTTTCATCAAGAATACCCTTAAAGAAACTATGAGAATAGAAGATCCAGGCTTTTGCAAACTTTTTTCTTCATAACAGACCATATGATAATATGGTAATAATACAGTCACACAATTGACTGCAAGTGCAGCAATTACAGAATCTTTTCATTTATTCTTTTGCTTCATTTATTTATTATTTGTTGATGATTTTAAGCATTTTGCTTAGTAAAGTAAAATGCAGCTTTAAAAATTCTTCTTCAGTAAAAAGGTCCTCCATGCACATATTAAGATCATATAAGATTCCCTGATAAGGAAAAAAAAACACAAGGATAACTTTGTTCAAGATTCTCAAAATATCAAACAAAACATAAAAACAAGGAGCATCGGTACACCCTAAGTGTCCACCACTGTCATGGAGTGACTATCCTGTGCAGAATCTAAATAGAAGAGAACTCTTGAGAAGCAGGTGTTCACCAAAGGTTCTCACCCCTATAGTGCATATCCATCACTGAGTCCAAGTTGAAAAAGGATTCCCTGTGATTGAAGAAGCTCTCTAGCTGCTTTTTTTTGCAGATGATATTATGTTGTTTGCATCAAACCCTAGAACATACTGAAAAGATATCTATAAGCAATAAACAGTTTGATATAACCATTAACTACATATTTTCAGTTAGCACTTCCAGATATTGCTATTTGTAGATGATGTGCTTGTTACAATTAGCTAATTGTAACAAGTTTTAATGTGCAGAAAATCCTCCTCACTGAGATACATGGTCCCTCCAAAGAGATTGACCTCATCATCCATACAAGGAAAACCAAATGGAAGAAGACTTGTCATTACATGGATTGAGGCATGCAGCTAGATAGGCAGTTTACTGAGGTAATCAATCAGTACACCTCTCTAGGGCAGGCACTACATATATTTGATGGAGCTGGATCACAGAGTGAGTAGGAAGAACAGAGCAGATTAAATTGCATCTGAAAAATTATATAGTAATTTCAATGATTCCTGGTTGCCCTCTGACACAAAACCCCATCTTTCTAGCACTAATACTCTTCCAGCAAGGTTATATAGCTATGAATAATGGGAAGCCACAATATCCAAACAATCCAAATTTCAGGCGACTAAAAGGACAATGGAGAGACACAAGTAGATATATGACCAATATGACTTGGGTACATTAAGTAATTCAAAAGATTTTACCAAGACAATTTATGATTAGATCTTAAGCAATGTCATATGAAAAATAGTTAATGGAACTGGAAATGTTTAACCTGGGGAAAAGGAATGAGGGGAGACATCACAGCTATCTTCAAATATTTGAAGGCCTCTTTTATGACAAAAGGACAATTTGTTATAAAAAGAAATAGATCATCCATGGATTGAGCACAAGAGTAGATAGACCAAATACTATAACTGACATGAGTAAAGAGTTGAGTTCTAGAGGAAGGTCTCTAACACATTGGATAGACCTCTTAGGGAGGATTTATGACGGAAATGGACAAGAATCACACAATAAGTGAAGGTATGGGTAATTATCAAGCTGTGCTACTGAGGAGGAGTGGTACCATATCAGTGAGATAGCTGACCCATTGATGTATTAAAATTAATGAGGATCCACTTAAATTCAACCCAAAAAGACCTTAAGCAATATCATATGAAAAATACTTAAAGGAATTGAAGTGTTTAATCTGGGGAAAAGGAATAGGGGGAGACATGACAGCTGTCTTCAAATATTTGAAAGTTTGTTTTAGAGGAAAAGGACTAAACTTATTCTGCATACCTCCAGAGTATAGAACTAGGGACACCCAGGCAATAAAAATCACGTGTAGGCAGATTTTAGTTCAATGAAATTTTTAAAAATTCTAACAAATAGAATTGCCCCCATATGGAATGGACTGCTTTGTGAAGAAGTAAGATCCCCAAGTGTTCAAGTACAAGTGTTCAAGCAACAATTGTCATTATGAGTAAGCCAAGGGGTAGCACAAGAGCAGTAGGAAGTTAAGACAGAGGATAATCTAAGAGTCAGAAGGAGAAAATAAAGCATTAGGACTGTACCAAATAAAATTTCAAAACTTCATGGTTGGCTCCGGTTGCCATTCTGTACATGTGTAAGTTTTTCTCATAAATTTTCATATGTGTATTTGAACCTTAATCAATAAAATTTATTTCATATGTATTAAAACATGGCCTATTTATCCAAGAAGCACATACCACTCCCATATTGGAGTATAGTAACTGTGCTTTTAAAAATCCATCTAAAATCAAAATCACATACAAATCCCAGCTGATACTTCTGCACCCTGGCTTCCAGAGAGATCAGAGCTTGATATATGCATCATCTCACCAGTGCTCACAACACAGCTGTGTGGGAGGTGGGGACGAGAATAATATTTCTCATTTTTACAAGCATAGAAAATGAGGTCTGTAGCCAAAAAGAAGACTGATTAACCGATATTATTCAGTAAATCACCAGTCGATCCTAAAACATGACTTCCACCGTGTCACTGTCCTTCTCAAGAACTTGCATTGACTCCCACTGCCTGTCTGATTAATTATTCCCAGAAAGAGCAACAGAGGGATGAGTGAACACTGAGGCTCTTGCCTCTGGAGAGGAAGTGCTAGAGTGGAGGGTGATGTAAGGGAAATAGCATTGAATTCAGAGTGAGGAAATAATTGGTTTTGAAACTTGCCTCTGACATTCAGTAGCTGTATGACCATGGGTAAGTCATATAACTTCATTGAACCTCTGTTTCCTCATCTGCAAAGATAGGTACTAAACCTATGATTTCATTGGCACAGGGAGCTCCCTGGATGAAGAAATGCTTTCCTAGTACATTATGAAATTATGAGACATGGCCAGTATGTGTCAAAAGCAGAATTTAAACCTGAGTCCTATTCCCAGTTCTGAGGATAGCTATCTACAATGCCATGCTGACTCCTGCTAGAAATGAGAATAATACTAATGGCTCTTACCAGATAGGGCTACTTTGAGGGTCAAATGATAATAATGTCTGTAAAGCATTTTTCAAAACCTGAGAGTGCTGTATAAATGTCAACTATTATGATTATCATTTCGGCAAATTTGGAAATAAAGGATAATTTTGCAGTGACTTACATAATATTTGCTTTTTGGCCATGGACAAGTAACTATTAGCTATGTTGAAAGCATAAGTCTCCTAGAAGAGAACATAAAAGGACCATAGAGATTTCTCTCCACTCTTTAGGGTATCAGGATGAATGAAGCATGTTCCTTGAAAAGAAAGTAGAAGAATTTTAAGGTCAAATCAAAGAAGAAAAACAAACCCAAGAGTCAGATCCTGATAAGATGATGGAGGTTGAAAAAAAGTGCCAAAGAGGAGGAAAATGGAAACAAGAGGATTATTGAAGACTTATAGCTCTGAGAAGAAAGCAACTGCTCAGCCTCAAGAAAAGGTGATTCAGAGGCAACTAGGTAGTACAGTGGATAGAGCATTGGCCCTGGAGTCACAAA